TATGTCCTCCTTCTTGGATCAACATATTGGGACTAAAATTTTTAAGTTGCACACTTTAACTCATCAAATGTAAATCGCCTGGTGTATCCCTTCACTTCTAATGTAGCTGATCATTGGAACAATTCTGGAGTTACAACATCATAACCCTGCAAGCTTTTCTTCACGATTGGCCAGTTTCTGCTCTCATTTTTTTTGTGGTTTTGATAATTCTGAGGAACATGGCATTGCCAATTTTTGGAATAGAGGCTTAGTTCCTGGCTGATCACAGCTGCTTGATACTGATAAAGATGACACAGAAGATCGAAGAACTTTAACACTGGATCCTTCCTGAGAAGATCTAAGTTAAATAGAGAATCCTTCTTGGGAAGATCCCTCTTTCTGGAATACATTTTTTCCTCCATTATCCATTACTAGAAGGGTTCAAGTGGGAGATCATGCTTTCAAACATTTTGCAATTGTTGAATCTTTTGGCCTGAAAACTGGTTAAGAGCAAGAAATGCAAAATCCATGTTGAATTACCATGTGAAAGATATATGATGACCAATCCAGGGACTTGTTCATCCCACCACAAGAATTGTTGCAAAAATGTACTCAAACTGGCAGCTTAATTCAGCAATGTAACAGTTCCGTGGACAAGCTAAGTCATTAACCGAAGGTATCAAGCCATGTGTAACGGATGTCATAGATTGGAGATGAATGCAAAATGATAGTTTAAAAGTGATGGATTATGTGGCTTTCTAGTAAATGGAACATATATATTAACGAATTATAAAAGAATACTAATTCAGTTGATACACTATGTCGTTTTTTGTTTGTGTGATTGTGCATTTGTGTGATCAAGATGTGCAAAACCTACATAAGTTAATTGTGATGGTAAAAAACTAACATGGGCAAGACCAAGACCAAAACCATCATCCAGGGTTTTACTGCATGAACAGTAACGATGATGTTGCACGAACAAAAAATTAATTCATGTTTTGCTATATTCTGTTTATATATAGTGTTAGAATTTGGGTGTGACTCGAATTCTTTGTTGAAGTATTGAAGAATTCTAATTGAAGTGCATGTCAAGGAGAATTCAGTTTGGAATGCTATTGGAGTCCTATATCAAGTTGAAATTCTATTTTGGAAGTCCATTGGGAGTTGAAAATCTGGTATTGGATTTGAAGAAGAATTTGGATGGAGAAAANTTCAGTTTGGAATGCTATTGGAGTCTTATGTCAAGTTGAATTTCTATTTTGAAAATCCATTTGGTGTTGAAATTCTGGTGTTGGTCTTGAAGAAGAATTTGGATGGAGAAAACAATTTAAAAAAAAAAATTGGTAGATTTCCTGGCGTCGTAACCCCGGGCATGGGCGCCGCAGAGCCACCTGTGTTGTTTGGATTTTTCGCTGTTTACTCTCCTACTTCGTTTGGGACTCGATTTTTTGGCATCCTACTTCACCAACAACTTGACCAAGAGGTTTGGACGTTCCTTACATGTTCCCTACAAATACTAGATTTTTCTATACAATTTTATAGGTGTGGGAAAATTGATTGCTAGAAGTATATGATCCATTGTAATTTTCTCTCTTCTTCATTATTCTTGAGTCAATAAAATCTCTTAATTCCTATAATATATTCTTGTCTTTATTATTCTTTTGCTTGATCATATATTTCATTATTATTTGCCATATAACTTCAACATCTCAATTCGATGGTTTGTTTCAAAGCAATTATGTTATTTTGGTTGTTTTACAACATATAGATATGGTAAAATTTTATTATTAGATAAAAAAAACCATATCATATAACTAAAACCAGGTGATTCGATAACATTACGAAATCTTCAGTCCCCTTTGGATGATTCAGTCACCGACTGCATCCTATACGGAAAGATTGAACGTTAAAAAAACTTTTTAGAAATCATTCTCTCTTTTATGCCACAGTTTAAGAAGTCATTCACTCAAAACAATTGTACTTGGGGCACTCCCAACACAATTGTACTTGAGGCAAGCTTTATCGACTCTCTTCTTGAAACTATTGAAGAATTGCTTAGTTGCCGAACATATTCCAGTGTTCTTGTGAGTAATCGAGTCAAAGTTCTCTAGAAAGAATTGAAATTTCTTCTTACGTTTCTTGTTGATACAAAGCGAAGCAAGAATTTATTTAAAGAGAATATTATATGGATAGAAGTTGAAGTTGTATCTAACTATGCACGACTTTTCTTCCATTCGTTCTTCTTCACCACATGCCTTGTTACGAAGACCAAAATGAATTTGGCAGTTTTTGTTCTATTAGAAAGAATTGAGATTGTGAAAGTGAAAGTGAAGATCAACTATTGCTACATTGCAATCTCTGTGAATCTGAATTGTAGAATTGGAAGCTTACAAGTTGCAAAAGGTCCAAATGAAGTATCATCGTCCCAAGATAAAAGAATTCCATGGAAATGGAATTCGACACAGGGGCAGACCCAGGGGTCCTGGGGGGTCGCGTGACCCCCAAACTTTTGAAGGTTTTTTTTTTTTTTTTGAAGTCATTTTTTGTATCAATTGAAATCTAAATTTTAATCTAAATCAAAGATAACAATTAATTTTAATAACATATTTCATGGAATCCATAATTATTTTACTTTTATCATAATTTACTAAAAAAATTGATTTTAATATCTATCAAATAGGGGCAAAATTACAATAAATTTGAATTTTTCTCTTTTTCTCTCGTCTTTTAACAAAATCTTAATTCTCCATCAAACATGGGCGAAAATACAATTTCGAAGTGTTCACGGTCTAATTTTTTACATCGTTAATGGCGTACGAAACGATCAATTGTACCAAATGCTACGACTTGTCAAAGTAAGCCTTTCAAAATTAGTATTTCGAAAATTTCAATAACATGCTAACTTTAAAAAAACTTCTACGATCGTACGCTAATCGAA